CATATAGGCAAAAGAGCCCCCTGCATTATCCGCCTCGTGCTAATTCAAGTCAGGGGGAGGATAGTTTCGTGGGGCTGGCACGGAAAGAAATGTCTAGTGTATAAGGCACATGGGTTTGATAGCCCAAGCCGTGCGTAGGACGGTTGGCTTGCAGGAAGGCGAGACCATGTGAGTTGCTTGGGACGATCTTCCATTGGGTCTTGGGGATAGGATGGACTGGGCGTAACAAGGCGAGGAGATGGTGCACAGTCGGTGAGGTTTGGACGTCGCAGCGCTATGCGAGCTAGCACCGTCATCTTTGCAGTAGAGCGGATTTCCGCAGACGCATTCGAACCAAGGACGGCAGGGTGGCCAGGTTCTTACGACGTGACGACTAGCCCTCATGGGCGGAGGACGACAGACCTCGATTTTGTCAAATACTTGGCTAGCCAGGCGCCCATAACATGTTTGATGCCGTTGAGCCACTAGGCCGCAATGGCAAATTCGCCCAGTACAAACCAAAACGTTCAGCTTTGACGTCGAGGGAACCCCCCGGCTGTTGTTGCGAATCATCGGGTTACTCATTTCGTGCATCTGATCTTCGACAACCCCGTCTGTCCCTCCCCCATCCCCAGGTCCCGATCCGACGATAGTGGTGTTCTGGATCGCTCATGACCACTGACCACCGACCGATCCCTGGTGGTTCACCAACCCCTGCCGCATCCGAGGGTTTTGCTAATTTGCCCGTCTCGATGCACACCTAAGCCAGCCCCAAGAAGAAAAGAGCTTAATTGCACGGTCCTACAAATCTGGTTGCGTGAACGAGAGGCCTTCCCCCTCCACGGCGAGTAAGATGCGTTCTAAGAACCATGATGCTGGGACGGCGCGGGAGCTAATGCAGGAGGTCGAAAAAGGAGCGACGGGGAAGCCTTCCGGTGTGGTCCGGGCTGGCCGGGGGTAGGTTAGGTCGGGAGCCTCTAGTGCCGGGCGAATGACGGAGGAGAAGAGGGCGGCGAAAGGGCGAAATGGACCTGTTCCAGCCCTGTACGGATACTTGCAATGTGAGGTAGCTGGGGCGATGTAACAGCACTACACAGAGTGTTCCTATGGTTCAATGGATTGATTGAGGGGTGCGCGGTGCTATTGATGCATGGACATCTGGGCGGTGATGATCCGAGTGATCCCCACAGGGTGACTGTGTAGTAATTAGAAGATGGTAGCCGCCACAGGCACGAAGTGCCGATGGTACTGATGTCGGCAACTCGAGGGTGCAACTAGGCCCGCTACTTTCGATTATCGGGTTGTCCTCAGCACAAGGCCGCAACGAGTTTTGTGTCGAGCATGATTGCCAAGTAGTCTACCACGAAGCTGAATAGCAGCGCTAAAGAAAATGTAACATCACCACTGCTGAGAGAGAGGTAAGTCCTTTGAGGAGGTGGCCTTTGGCTTTGACAAGTCGTCGGCTCACCCCCCTTTCTCGCATGTCAAAGTCCGAGTTGACAAGCATGGGAGAGCCCAGGAGCTACGAATAGCGGCTACGTGATGACGAGTTTCAGCCTCCCAGTAAGCCACCCAGTAAGCTCCTCAGTAGAGGGCGGATGCGGATGCGGATGCGCCTGACGTGGTTCAGAAATACAAGCTACACGACCTTCAGTAGACACCGAGGTATGAGTGCTATTGCTATCGGCCATGTCGAATACGAGACTCTAGAGTCCCTTCTCTTGTCTAAAATTGGGGTTGAATGGGGTGGACGAACCAACGAGGCGTCAAAGCCAGACAGCGTCAACTAAACGTAATCTGCTTGCCCATGAGACTCTTAAAGGCGTCATCTAGTGCCTTGCGCTTGCGACTTCTTTCCTCCTCATTGGCATCCTGGGGATCCGGGGTATCATCGTCGTCTTCAGGCCCGGGCAGCCGGGGCATCCAGGAACGAATCTGGCCGTCCAAGTGAGCCGTGTAGACGGCACCAAAAGAGGTCCCGCCTCCCATTACAGGCCCCTTTTGCAAACCGGAACCACCACTACCACGCCACACCATACTCATTGTGCGATTCTTGACATTCAAGCCATTGTTCTGATATACGGCCGCTGCATGAGGTCCAGGAACTCGTAGACGCGTTACCAGGGTGCCCTCATGTAGGTCCATGACCAGGATCTCTTGCTCGTTGGGATAAAATAGGAGATCCCGACGTGATGGCGTCAAACGAGCGGGCGTCACAAACATGTTGACGGTCTTTGGCTGTTGATTTTGTATCAGGGAGCCGAAACTAGCTAGCGTATTCGCGCCAGTAGCAGCATCCCAAACACGGATTCGACAATCCAAGCCGGCTGAGACGATGTACTTGCCATCGTCGGTCCAGGTCAAGCCGTTGACACCCTCATTGTGAGCTCGAGCTGAGTTGCGGAAATGAGGCATACGCTTCCAATGAAGGCCAGAAGCCATGGCATGGTCGAAGCGGTGTACAATGCCGAGGCTATCCTCCTGATCGAGCTGGCCGACCAAGCCAGAGGCGCGCCGTATGTCCCAGACGCGGACTTTCCCGTCGACATGTCCGGTTGCAAGAGCATGCTCCTGACGAGGACTCCAGGCTGCCGATAAAACAGCGCCCCCATGTGCTACCAGCGAGCGAATCGACGTTCCTGACCTGAGGTCGACCAAGCGAACCGACGAATGCTGGGTCGCGCAGGCGACCAAGAGATGATTGGCAATGGGGCTGGTGGCATGGGTGTAGATATTGGCATTGAGATCGAAATTGGCGGATACAGTCATGCGTTGAGTAGACCATAGCTTGAGCGAGCGGTCAAAGGAACTGGAGAGAAAGGCCTCGTTGTCGAAAGGGTAGAAATCAAGATGAGTAATGCCGTGCTTGTGGGCGTTTGTCTCATCTCCAATAGACCGGGAAATATTGGCAATGGGTTGAAAGATGTGAGATTTGTGAGGATTGCTCTCTTGATGAAGGTCCCAGAGCTTCACAGATCCGTCTGCGCCGCCAGAAAGAAGTCTACCATGAAGTATCTAGTATTAGAAAACGCAGAGCGGTAGAGAGTGGAAGTGTAGATAGGTGAGATACGTACAAACGACCATCAAACTTGTCCAAGGCCAGTGCGTTGACACCAATGCGGTGAGCCCAAAGGTTCACATGTCGGCCCTCTTCTTCGGGTTCGGCTCCTTCTCCGTCGAACCGGTGCTGTGGAGCGGCGGCAAAGGATCGGACGAGCCCCGAGGCGGTCGCTTGCGCAAAGCCGTCCGGGCTCAGCTCACCTGTTGAGCGGGCAAATAAACGGGACTGCATTCATCTGGGACTGGGCCTTGAAGTGACAAGGTGACCCGAGATGAGAAGCCGTTTTGGAGAATGTCAGGCGAGTTTGACGTAAGGTGTCTGGTCGAAGTTTAACATGGGATGTTGATGAGGCTGAGACTGAGGCTAAGGCTGAGGTACCGAAGGAAGGTACCTACCAGGTAAGACTGGTGGATGGGAAGATGAGGTTGCCAGAGACAGTGGTGATGATGTCAGCAATGGACTCTGTCCAGCGCAACTACCCCCTGTGGCTACCCTGTGGCTGCCCTACGGACGGTTGCCTTTCCAGGTGCACTTGCCCACCTGGGAGAGAGGAAGGAACCAGATAGAGGCCCGTTCATTGGCCAGACTGGACTTGAGCCCCACCCTTCAGAACCTTCCATTCTCTCAGACTCTGGGCAAGAACGGCAAGGTCGGTCAGGACATTCCTGCCCAACTTGAGAAATTGAATTTGAAGGGTAAAGACTCAAATCTGCCTCTCGTCTTTCAGGCAACGCCCTCCCCAACGTCTTCATAACTTCCTCAAGACATGTGCCACCGACGGCGTAGACGATAACCCAATACTCGTCCTCTTTTTAGCCAGCTGCAGAGAACCAGATCTGTTGTATCGAGAGCCAACGACTACGGAGTATAGGTGCCATCATTCATCCACCAAGACAATACTCGGCGCTTCCGCTCTCTCAAGTGTTTTTGTATGCCAGCTTTCGTCGGCGACAACAACGTCCCAGGACTTACCTATAGAGGAACAACCAGAGGGAACAACCAGAGACCTTGTCATCATGGAAGAACAACTGGCAGATCAGCGCTCAGAAATGTACGACCAGTCTGATGCACATGGCCCTGAGCTTGTTCAACGTCCACCAGAAGAAGCTAAGCGGTCGCAAAGACATGCCAGCGTCTACGATGCTGTTGCAGGTAAGCATGACCCAAGCCTAGGCCTCTCTATCTGAATTAGTACCAACTCACTACCAGGAAGAATCATATTTGACACCGCATTGAATGCCGCTGTTCAAGATGAGAAGACGCCTCACGCCAGCTCCAAACCGCCCAGGCTGACTAGACATCCCATCAACGCTTCCGCGTTAGCCCCGGAGGAGGTTCTGTTCCGTCGCAAGTCAGCACCCGAGCGCTTTGCCGAGTTCGATGTCTACATGGCACATGACCGGAACCTCACAGACGGTGGTCGCACATCCCTGCCGGATTCTGATCTTCTCAAATCCGTACACACCTATGCGAGCTACTTTTATTCTGCCCTTGGCGGCCCAAAGCGCAATCTTTCGTACCAAGTTGGCGCTCGCAATATTGACGAGAGAAGTATGGATGAGTCGGCCTTAATCGCCTTGGGCATTTTGCTCGAAGAGGCTGGCAGAGACGTCTTAGGAAGCAAAGGAGACATGGTCTTCACCGAGGGCCTCCAACTACCCGAGGACAGCAACCCGACGTATCAAGAACCACGCGCCGCGACCAACACGCCAACTTATCCTGTGCTCGGACACGTGAGCCGGGAGACAGCCCATGTCGGTTTCGCTGACGTTGGGTCCTGGAAAAGGGCAACCAAACGACAAAAACTGAGCGATCCCGATAATGCCTAGAACCTCTCTGGATCTCTCACTTTCCGAGATGTTGGTTCCAACACTCCCCGCCAAACCCTTGTCACCGCTCGACTTGCTGGCACTTTTGCACTTGGCGACCGTTGCCAGCAACCCGGAACAAGTATGGATCCTCATTTAGCGATCGGGTGAGCCATCGAGACACGGCAACTCGGCATCTGGTACTTGCGTGCACGGGGACAGTTGTGGACTTGCACAGCCTTGTTCATTGTTTGCTCTTGTAAGAAAGAGTAGCAAATATGTCGGTCACAAGATCCACGGCACGCTCGACATGAATATTCGGGCGTGGTCAGCGACGGCATATCTCAATGATGACCGAATGCAGAAGGCCGTTCCATAATGAAGCACCCATCGAATCAGCCGCCGCTAGACACCCAGTCACTGCCAGGATCTGCCATCTAACCTCTAAGCTGTCTCGATCCCACACATGGAGCGCTTGGAACAACCGGCTCATTGACGGATTGGCCCTGACCTCGCAAACGCTCTACGCCCGACAACGCCGCATGTTTTCTCCTTTCGTTTGTTCAAGAGACATAGCAGGCTTATCTTGCCTACCACGGATGAGTGTCCCGCTGTATCTATGTATTTCTCGTGGGTTCCAGTTTCTTTTTTCCGCAACTTTGTATGGAGGAAATACATCGTGGCCAAGTCCGATGAAGTTTGTTGGAACACAGGTTTCGCTTAGCAAGATACCCACCAAGACTCGGAACAGAAACTAAGATTTGTTTGCGATAGACTCTCAGCGCCTGCCATACCCACCAGTTTGCGCGCCAACCGTCTGCTGTCGACCGCTTTGGTACGACATCATCTATGCTCGAGCGAATTTTGACGAATTGAAGCAGCTGGCGACGCTAGGCGCTATGTAGTCTATTTCTAGGACTAGACGAAAGGCTTTCTTGTCAAGTTTACGAAGCGCAGCAGAAACAAGGGGAGCAGCCCAGGGTCATTCACAATTTGACTCATGTCGGCATAGAAAGAGAAGAGTGCGAGGTCGGGGTGAAAGTCCCATTCAAACCTTGGCAGTCTACGTCGATACCAAGTCAGAGCAGGCGATGGAAAATGGCGTCGGCACAATCTCTCCGCCCACCGTCAGCGACCTTTCACCATAGACCGCAGAGCTCATACCTGTAACCAACTGCCGTCGAGATTGAATACATTACACGTCAAGCCTCAGGGGAAAGAAATCTAGACATCGCACAATCCTGACGCTGATGACAACTCTTAATTCTGCAGGTATGGAACATACGTCCGCCCAATGATTCTACCCCTGAGAGCCATTGGTACTCAACTGAGAATCTTATATCACAACGGATCGCAAATCGTACGTCCTCAATGTGAAGCGAGAGACTCCATTTCGGTGATATGGCCGACTCCCCGGCTTTACTGGGGTATGCATACATACTGTTGGCCTTCGGGACAGCTCTCAGTGCATAACCGGCCATCGGTTCACTGAAAGACGACAAGGTGACGAAGTATGAGGACAGCGAATGCTGTAGAATGTCATCCAAACCAAGTTCAGTCGTTACGAAGGCATATGTTCAGGCATGAACAGAACACCGCCCGAGTCTCACAGACGCAGCTTACTAAGCAACACTGTTTGACCGCTTTCGTACACGGTTGGTGCCTCGCTCCGACTTGGGGTCGCATCCGACACACCGGACCGGAATGGAGGCGGGTACGGATCTAGATGTCCGGCTGCCGGTGTGGGGGTCTCATCCGGCAGGTCACCCGATCACCTCACCCGCTCCGGGAGAGCTTCACTGAAGGGTTCAGACTCTATTTTTGCCGCTGATATCGGAATGCGCGATGGGCTCAGCACACATGTTCTGTCAGTTAGCGAGTTCGATTCTAATGCCGGACATGCTTGTGCAAGACCGCACTCATATCAGGCTCACACATTGTCATGTTCGCCAATTTTGAGCAACCTACTTACAATGCCCAATGACACGCATCAGAAGAAATTTTGAGAGCCGATGAGGGCAAGCCCCAGGACCCCCCGACACATAGAAAAGGAAATCTCAATCCAGCTTGGCGTATCGCGACCAGGGCTTTGGTTGAAATCGGAAATCGGAGATCGGCTTGACTCCCTTGCAACACAAGAAAAGTCAGTTCCGTGAGCTCTGTGCCTCTGGCAATCTGGACGATATACACAGTAGAATCTTGCTCTTGCGGTCCACCCACCTCAGCTGTTAGCACTGAGCATGGCCTGCGCTGCAACGTAACAGAACCCCTTTTCGGCGCCCGCTGTGTGTAAACTGGAACACGAAAAATTTGCCTCTGGCGGCGACACTAGGCCGGCGGAGATATTTAGGGGTACACTATCAGAACAAGGCATTGTGCCGTCCGCAATAGAGATGGAAGTCGGAAACGCCGTTCATGGTTGTGGTTGGGCATCGAGATCAACATTCGTCGACCTTGCGACGAAAGTCTGTTCAGCCATGTGCAACCCGCTTTGACCGCTTGACAGTCCTCGCACAGCAGAACCCTTGGGCTGCTTGATGACATTTCCCACCTAGATTTGCAACATTCAGGCATCAGGCTCAACTTGGAGTTTGATCTATCCCTGAGGGCCACGCGATCCGCAAGGGGGCGTATCACAGTTTCGGTGTCGCTCTCGTCATGTGACTGATGATGCAACGGTACACCGATGTTGTAGTTGGCAACACATCGCTTGTGCCAACAACTTTTTCGACCTGCATACGGATACTGCGTGCAATAGCTGTATTAGGCAAAAGTATTCCTCACTTAAGGATTCCCCTAGACCGCGAAGGGCTTTCATGGCGGACTGCGCAAGCTTGAGAGATCTTCGGATATGATAAGCATGAACCGGAGGCGACGCGATCAGACATGGTCGTATTATTCACTAACACGTGTACCGCACCGCTCAGTACTCTTCATCGCTGGTAGCACTGGGGCCACTGTCCCTCGAAGGCTCGAAACACTGCAAAAGGGGCCAGGATTTCGTTGAAGAATATCACGGCAGATCGTTCGCAAAAAAGGATGTACTCTGTTACAGCCAGAAGAGTGCCTATCCCGGTCTAGCGCTAGTATCTCCTTTCCAGCTTGTCATTGACAAATTTCCCCGGCCGTTGGACTTCGTGGCCACCTAATATACGCACGGAGAATGGGGACGATGTCTGTCAGACTGCCAGACCGGCATCTACCGACGAGTTGAAGAAAAAGGAAGCAAAGGAAGAAGCGGAGCACGCCAAAAAAAATTAACAACTGTCTGGACCAACGGCCACCGTGTTGCAATATGTCCATGCTCACCGACAGCCCACCGATGGATCCGACGTGCCAACCTCATGTCCAGGATCTCGACGTGACTGGATGGAGCAATCCCCTTCATTATGACGGTGGCTTCGTTTCAGCTTCTGGCTAAGCGACTACTTGATCTTAGTCTCGGGGGATGGAACGGCGGTTCAACCTTCTCGAGCTCTTGGCCCCGGATCTAAATTGGAAATTGTCTCCAGCAACGGAACGCCAGAAGCGTTCTTCGACGGGGAACTGATTCGGCCCGGACGCTATGAAAGCTGGACGTACCGAATACACGGCAGTATGTACTCACACAAGTCATTGTCGTTTCCGACAACTGCCTAGAACGTTTTAAGTAACCTTGAGGGCGAAGTTCTATCAACAAAGCACCTGCGCCACGTGGCTTCCAGCTGGTGCGATTTTCTTGACCGACATACGTGTCAGCCGCCTGCGGTAGGAGGCACGTGAATTCCAGGCGCTTGTTTGCAAAGAAGACTGGTTCAGCAAGCAATGCGGCTGCTATTCTAAGACACAACACGCTCCGTTCCCGTTGCGGTGCTTGCCTTCCCGCCTGTGGCGCTGCCTCTGAAATTTCGAATGATATGCGAGGGCCCCCAACGCAGCTCGGGATGATCGACGCAATGCCGGCCGAAAAGCATTGCCACAGCTCAAGTCACGAAGCCTTTTCTAACGACCACGTCTCGAGTCTCTTGACTGGCCAACTCGCACACACGGAACTCGTAAGGAAACTACCGGAGACGCCTGCTAGTTTGACCGGTCAAGACGAACAATGTTGATCCTTGGTCTCGGTGTGACAGTACGAATAATGGCCTGATTAAAGTGCGTGATCGGAAAATGAACCAAGCTCGGACCACTGTCGAATATCTTACACCGCCAACCGAGGTTCCGAATTCTTCAAGAGTCAGGAAAGCGCGTTTTGATTATCAGATTTGAAGGTGTCATTGCTTGTGGGCAGCCTGGTGTGTCAGCTCGTGAGAACACAACGGCCCAAAACCTGAGGGGTTGCTGTTGAAATCCGAAGGCATCTTGATACAAGGTTCGGAGAACAGGTCCTGTGCGCTGCAGACCGAAAGATCCTGAGAAATGACAAAAGCGAGGGGCACCCAGCGGGTCTGCGCTGTTACTCTAATCCTACGGATTGGCTTTCAACCCTCACCTATCCGTCTAATGGAAGTAAATCCTCGCTTTTCAGCCGCAGCTGTGTATACGCATACCGTCGCTTCAGAGTAACTACGAATAAGCTATCGGATATTGCAGGGAACAAGGTCGATTATTTCCCTTACGAGCGAGCGCCCTACGGCTCAGGCAATCTCTCGGGTAGTTTTTGGGCTGAAAGAAAACCTTCTGCGGCAACACAAGCTGGCCTCAAAACAGGATTGCCAGAAACCAAACAGTCCATATGACTGGCGCTCCTATGATAACAGTGCAACATATCTAGGCCAGGTGTGCTTTGTACCTCCGACGGCCATCCCACCCCGCCCGTTGCGACCTAAGCCGTAATCGGCACGGCTGTTCTTCTCATCGCCAATGTTCAGATGTCATTTTCGATAGACCGACCGTCAGCACAACGGTAGTATTCTGTGGAACAGTGGAACAGGTTCGTTCTAACGCACCAAGCCGACGCCTGCCGCCGCCCGGAGCATCAAGAGAATGAGGAGTCAAGGACTCAAGAGGCTTGCCGCCTGCGTCTTATCTACAATGCGTTGAATTTTGCGACATGGCCGCCTGGTTCTCTCAGATACCCTAGCAAACCCTGGTAAACCTTCGTCTCCAGTCGGCGGTGCACCAATCTCCGAACCTCCAACATCTCCTCGGGTTGCTCTTTTGGGCCCTTTGGGAAAGCGACCGCACCAGCCAGAATCGGAGAAGGAGCTCATTCGCAATCACCGATACTGATCCAAGCTGCAAGGCTTGCTGCCGAAGGCGATGCCAGCCGGGCATGCACGTCGCCTATGTGTGGCGGCTCCCGCCCAAGTCATCAGCCATTACGAATATCACATCCCCCCCCCCCCCCCATGGAGATGAAGAACAATGGCTGTGCGGACTTCGAAGCAGTCACGGCAGGCTAGTTTCGGGTCAGTCAGGAACAGCGGCAGGCGTCGTGGAGGACAAACTTCGGTCGTCAATGCGACTATTGAAGGCGAACCCTGTCGATCCTCCAACTAGATTTGTTCCCCGCATCCCGCGTTCCATGGAAGACAGCCACTTCCTTCGTGGACACGCCTTTGAGTTCCTTAACCGCCCAACGGCTGCCTCGCATTTGGTCGAGCCGCTCTACACTACACTACGGGCAGTTTTGAGACGAGACGAACAGAAGTCTAGCTTCCGTCTTCCCCGGCGCAACTCGCCGACCTGCTATCCCTACAAGGGCACCTTCGCGGATAAGTCTGCCACAGACTTCTGGTGGTTGTGTGCGCCCGTCATGCTGTCTCTGACGACACTGTATCCTTTCTTGCACAATAATGGATGAGAGACATCGACTTCCTGTCTCGAAACCTCATGGTGGGCTTGTGCTCGGACGCTTTGCCCAGGACCCTACCTGTCCGGCGTGCTTGATACGCAGCTCATAATGCCGCCGCGCCGCCCTTCTGCACGGCTTCCTGCAGCTAAGCCCACGGACGTTGAGAGCAAGTCGGCAGGCTTATGCTACAGGGAACAGCCTAGCAATGCAACCTTCGAGTCAAAGTCACCCCATCCCCGATACTGCCCTGTCCGCTACTTGGTGCAGAACGGAATAGCTGCTTCGATGGCTGTCATTGTGCAGCGTCTGCCTATAGCGGCTTCTGGGTAGGCAACAGGTTGAGCCCGAAGATCATTCAGTCACTTTGGGATAGAGGAGCTGAAGCCATACATACAAAGCAAGTGATACTCTCATCGAGGGTAAGGATTTCACAGGATAACATCTGCGCCCCAGAACCTTACTTGGCGATCATGGCAGCCCAAGAGGAAAGTTGTGATACGGTTACAGATCTAGCCAGCACATCTCGCGACGCGACAGTTTACTCACCGTTTCCCGAACGAAACCCCAGGGGCGAGCAGCCGCCTATGCTGCGGCAGTTGCAGCCAGCGCGGAATTGTGCGTAATCCTCTGACGAAATGAGGATTTATGACCTCAAGCTTACTGACATGGCGGGGGTTTGTGGACTAACAACGTTCTGCTGATTAGACTTGGAACCTAATAGGAACCAGCCAATTTGGACGTATAGCCATCGTCGTCAACCACACCGGCCCACTGATGGTCGTCAGCGTCTGCAGATCAAGAACTCTACTCACGACCGCAGGCTACAAAAGGCGGTGACTGATTTGAAAGCAATATTGGCAGGCGACTTTGTCCTTTTGATGGAGTCTCTCAGATACGAGACGAAGCTGGATGTCATCAAACAACGCTGGCGCCTTGTTGGGTGGGTCGTATCGGCTCATATCTTGTGTCACTTGCACGGTCGATTGACATATCAAAACCGTCCAGTCATTCATGGCAGCAAACGGTGTTTATTGGACTTTATGTGAGAAGCCTGGGTGCCGGAAACCTAAATCATTGGCGAAGTGATCTCATCTCGAAGGGCCCGGCCGTGAGGTATTCTGCCCAGCGTTGAGCCCGGGGACTTTGGAGAAGACAAGTGACCAGGCACTGCCAACGGAGCGAACTCCGACATCATTTTACCAGCTCAACCGCCTTTGCCCTTGTTCGCAAGAGAGACGCTCGGCACTTTCAATCTTATTGTCCTCGATGAGAGGCCGCAACCGCTGCGAACGCACATTAACCAAGGCATGGGGTACGTTCTATTATATCTGATATCGGCAGCGGCAGAGGAGAAAAAGATATGTACTACTTATTTTTGGGTGTTGCTGAAGACTTCCAGGGAAAGCCTTGTGAGGACCCTGCAACACAGCTGGCAGAGAACGAGTACCTCCTGTTACAGCTGTTTGCCATGAATATCTCGAGGGCACACTTCACTGGCTACTCGGTTGTGCCCCTTTCGGACGTAGCCCCAGGCCATGGGGTCGCATTTATCTCTCAGAGACCACAGTCGGGCATTTATTGAGACGGTTCGAGTGCGACGGGTGCTTCCATGACTCCCGACAACGAAATGGAGATGCCGACAGCCCGCCCAGGGAACAAGCTTGAATACAGTTCATTGGCGTAACGGCGTTGTAAATTGCTTTACACTATCCGTACGACGAGTGGCTAGGCATTGGTGGGGATTTATGGATGTGATAAATTTGTGATCGGGACTGGCAACAATTGCTATGGCTATGACGACGACCTCAGCAATATTTTTGCCAGAGCGGCACACCGCTTGCATGCCACCATGTCCCGTGATACCACTGACGACCGCACGCCTCACTTGTCCAGCCTCGCACGCAGAGTTGTCACGACTAAAAGCGCGCTTGTACTAGAGTCGGCTGCTTTGCGCTGGTCACGTTGACCATACCCCAAATGCCAGTCGCTGGACGAGGTAGGGATCTTCCACAGGATTTTCCTCGGTACCTTGCGCTCGGGCTGGGCTCGGTAGCCTTTGACCCGTTTTCGAAGCTAAGGAGATTTGGAGGCGTGGCTCTTTTCTCTCTCCTCTCATCCCCCCTGCTGGATGACGAGCCTCTCACTAACAAGCAAGATGCGGCAATGAACTTGGAGTAAGTCGGAGGGGGCCGCTCTTTCGCTCGAGGCTGGAGGGTACTAAGCCATGTACTTGCGGACCATATCCGCCGCATCTTATATCAGCACTCGCATCTGTCGCACGCAGCTATCTCGCGTTGGCCGCCGCAGCCCCAAAAAGCCCCCGATGAGCTGTCAATTATCGATAATCCGAGGCTCGTCGATGGGGTTTTCGGCCTCCGACATGTTCTTGGGACAAGCATCCAGAGACAAGGTGGCTGTACCTGCAACTGCATGTCCAAGCTCGAGCCTGAAGTGTTGGACATGACGCACTTGCGCACCGACAATGACAGAAATGTCGATGTCGTACAGTGACGGATTCGCGCTGTGTAATGATGCGCAAAGGACCTCCGTTCAGAGTAGTAAGCGAGACAATGCACAGTACCTGGACAAGAGGGCAACATGGTAGCGTGCCTGGCCCACGTTGCCTCACGAAACCTTGTTACAGACGACACGACAAATAACCAATGTTTGGTTCTGTCGATATGGACAGACTTTCGACACACGGCCGATGATTCCACGTGCCTTTGAAGCTCGCCGGTGCTGCCGAGTCCGAATCCGGGACGGACTTGAGGCGATTATCACTTGCCGAGCACGCAAAATGGTCCCTTGGCGCTGTTGCCCTCCCATTCGAATTATGTCGAGGTTGAAGGGGTTTGACAAGAGAACGAGTCAACTCGAGATGGAGCAATCGCCATCTTCACAAGTCTTGACAAGCTCTCAGCCAGACAAGCAACGGATCCTGCTGCAAGGAGTTACACCACCCACAAGTGACAGCCAACAAACTCCGAGACACTTTCCTCTGTTTTCTGGAAGTTACAGGGCAGCATTCGATGCTCATTGGAAGTCCTCACAAACTACAAAACCGTAGAGGTGGGAAGAGGGGGGACCACCGCGACTTGAGGGTGGGGGAGAAGAAAGAAAATTTCAAACCGTTCTGGGGTCAAAACCCACTAACCAGCTCCACAGCGATGGGTTCCTCTTTGCCGAATTGCAGACGACTCACGGCGCGTATTGAAGACTTGAGGCCCCACGATCTGCTCAAGTTGAAAGTCGGTGCGCTCGAGTGGTTCCTCAGGAGTCGAATGGTTCGGAGAGACCAAGATCATGTTGCAGAACCGATGAGCATTGATGTGGAACATGAGCTGCCCGACAATGGTCTGCTCTTCCGTGTACTGTGTATACCAGAGGTCAGCCATGAATCGCAGACTGATGTATCGAGTACGAGCCGGCGCATTCGAGGTGTGCCGCATGTTGCGCCTCAACCGCCAGGCAAAGCGGTATCGAGTACGCGGACCTTCGGCGCGGACTGTCGGCCAGCGATCCACCCCTCCAAAAGAAAGTGAGGGGCTGACAGTACTTGAAAGCTACCTGGTTCTCTCACTGCGACGTCACCGCACCACGAGTACACTTGTGTGTCGCTTGTCGAGGCCACCGCTGCCGCCCAGGTGACTTGAAGTCTTGACCGTCCCGGCCGACAGGAGCGGCCTTTCTACTGCGCCCCGCAAGGGAAGAGCTCCAACAGCTCCATCGACCCCGTTGCGAAGGCCGCCATTGTCCAGAAGAGGCTTGAAGTGTTGCGACGAGACCTAAGACGTGCAAGACTAGGACCAAGAATCAGAATCAGACTCAAACAGCCAGCTGGTCAGCAGACCAAGAGCAAACATCGCGCCCCTAGTGGGTAGCAGAACAAGAGCACCCATGAGCGTGATGGAAGACATTCTTGGTACATATCAACGGACGGAATCACGTACGGATACACGAGCATGTCGACGATGATAGGCGGCGATACCCGTATCCGTACAGCACGCTTTTGGACTTCAACTCTGTTGGCCAACTCTACCGTACTCTCGCCAACCTTCGGCTGGCACTCATCACACACATACCGTACACACACTTTCTTCAAAGTTTGGCCTCTCCGTCACCGCCGACATCAGGATAGGGCGGGCAATCCGCAGGCAAGACTGCTTCTGTCAGTCTGTCTCGGGCCCCTCACCTCCATTTCGGCAGCTAACCACGACTGACGGGCAGCATTCATCCTTGCTCCCTTACTTCCTCTCAAGCGGGCACCAGCGAGCAAATGGACTTTGCCCACCACCCTCAGCTCTACTGGCTCTTCCGCTCGTGAGTGACTTCGGTAGTGGTTAACCTAACCTCTCCCCTCCATCCCTCCATCCTCGAGCAAGGAAAAAAAAAAGGCATCACAGACCACCACTCGCACCAACAAACAACAAGCAAATCTGGACAAGCTGGTGTCATCTTTTGCTTTCCACACACCCCCTGTCCCTCGCCCGCCTGCCGAGGACCCCTCCCATCCCATCTCATCCCACATCTCCAAAAAGCTGCTCAGACCGACATCAAGGCTCAGTCACCCCAGTCGAGCGCGAGCAAGGCAGGTCCCTCGGCGCTCCGAGTCTTTCCAGGCACCCTCCGTGCTTCCCAGGTACCGGTCCCTTGGACCACGGCGTCGGAGCGAGTTTTCTGCTCTAAGACGGTTCACCGTCTCTGCGAATGAATCGTTACTACTGGGCAGCAGTTCGACATACAGTATCCGTATCCCACACTATCAAAAGATGCTTGCCAACAACTAGCCGGCTTGGCTCTGGTTTGACTTTGGCGAGTCGCATACTTTCGTCCGTCCTGCGACAACATCGCGCCCACCACACCATGTTTCTCTCTCTTGACATTCGTCAGTCACGGTGACGGAGGCCAGCTCCGATCTTCAGCCCTTCTGTTCCGGCCTTTTCCGCCTTGACTTTGACGTAGTCAGCAAACGAACGGGCCTTTTCGTCCATGCATTTGGGTTTTATATCGCCGATGGGGAACGTTATTCGTCAGATTTAGGGTCAACCCCAGACCTGGGGGGACGGGCGAGCGAGCGAGCGAGAAATGAAGAGAGATAATGAGAGAGGTTGAAAGAGAGCGACGAAGAAAGGGAGAGTAAAAAAAAAGAGGCTTTTTGCACTCCCCCTGGTACTCTTCGCCTCGCGCCCGCCACCAAGGAAGGGCCCTGTGTACGACATTCAAGCCGCTAAAATAACGTCGACGCTTGTTTCTCTTCACGACTCACGTCGAATCACTTGAGGATGGCAAAGTGTTGGGAAGAATTGCCCGCCACGTCCGCCACGCCCGCCACGAACAGCCTCGTCCAATCCAACCGTGGCCCAGTCTAGCGGTCGGCACCCGCGAAGCACCAAAGATAGTATCTTGCGCGCAGCAGCACCGGCATGGCAGCAAGCAGCACAGCAAAGCAAAGTACAGCACAACGCAGCGGTCAAGTGACGAGTCGAGGCGGCGCACTGCGAACGGATACTACTTGACTGCTTGGGCGAGTTGGAGCATGGATTGCATGTCGCTGCTCCGCACTCGTTTTGTTTGCCTGCCCATCCCGTTCCTTCGCATAGCATCGCATCGCACGCCCGCGGGTTTCCAAACCGAAAGAAAACCTAATAATACAGCAGACCCTTCTTTTGCAAGGACCTGCCATCTTGCTATCACACCGCAACCATACGTCAGCTCACCGTACATTACACCGGCCAGCTGGCCCCTCGTGGACCACCAGCGACGTAATGATCAAGACAAGACAAGAGGGGGACCAGAGCCCCAGAAAAAGCGGAACTTGGACATTCCTTTGCACGGCCGTTGCTGAAAAGCAAATTTCCTTCTCGAATCCCGTGACCACTTTTCCCCAGTTGTCTGGCACTCTGGCATGGAGTATGATCCAGAATGCGCCGGTCCATGACTCCATGAGCAAGTATCGGACGGAACACACCGAGAGATTCGGAGAGAATGGCAAAAAACCAGGAGAGAGAAAGAGAGAGCATGAAAATGGTCTCGTCTCTGAGGTTCGGTTATCCATGAGTCTTTCGCGCGCCGGGCCCCCTCCCCCCCTTTGCTCCCGACAGCATCTCCGTGCGGCGCGTCCCGTCCGGAACTGGCAGTGTGCCTTGGAAAGCCGACGAGAACTGGTGCTGCATCGGATCCAAACAAGCTTGGGAAGTGGTGTCGGGAATGGGAATGGGAATGGCATTGGGGAATGCCTTGAGTCGGTCTGCTAGCCGGGCACTACCCATCCCTGACAGTCGCCAACTTGTCGCTACCGCAGTATCCGTACGACTAGCCCTGACTGCTGCGCAAGTGTAGGCATTCTGTTCGTGTGCGCGTGGTTGATGTGGGAGAAGAGAGTTTCTAGCTACTATGCTTAGCACCGCATATCCGCCGCCCAGGTACGCAGTGCAGTTTCTCAGCAAGCGACCAAACGACCGAGCAAGCCATCGGCAACACAAGAACAGATTCCCAGGCTGTTGGAAGACTTCCTAAGACAAGCATACCGACTGGGGCATACGTGCTTCAACCCAAACGGTACTCTTCGCGGCACAGTACACGAGGAGTACCATACCTCTGTCTGTACATGCGCGTGTATATGAGGATTTACCTGTACGTAGGCTGTGGGAGGAAGCAGATCAAGTCGGGCCAGCAGCAGCTTCACACGCAAGACACGCGCTTGCTCCAACCCCCCATGTCACTAGGAACGCACGCACGCACGCACTTCCACCCTCTTTCACGTCCATTTCCAGGGCGGCGCGCGTGGGAGAAACGGCGGAGGCTGTCGATGGGGGGATGTTAAGGACACGCCCCTCCTTTCGTCTTCATTTTTCCCACACCGCGCAAAGCAAACTCCAAGAACGACTACGATGAGGACCACGACGTGCTGCGGAGTAATCGGTACCTACTTGTAGACGGTAGAGGGAACAGTACTGGAGACACACACACCCACACCCCCCCTCGTTCGCTCACGAAGATCCCTCGTCCTAGCTCGACTCCCCCAATCCTAGACTTATCCAGATAGTGTAAAGTCGCCGCGCTGCTGCTGCGGTTTTTTCTTTTTCTTTTTTTTTTTTTTTTTCCTTTTATCCCCCCTTCTCGTCCCTCCTAACCCACCCTTGCTATTTTTCATAGACCCCCCCTTGGCCCTGCTAGCTTTCTGAGACTTTTCGACTTGGCAGGGTCGATTGGATTTCCCAGGTGGTCCTCTCTGTCTCTCTCTCTCTCCTACTCTCTTTTCTCCGGCGGAAGAGTCCAAGACTGATGGACTTGTCGCGAAAGTAACTCCCTGCCTTGTCTCTCTCAGTCACTCTCACCCCTGTCGCCACCGCATCCCACACACATCCAGGAGCTTGCGATACTTTCAGATACCACATCGCGTACCCCTCGGCCAAGCTCCAGAGCTCCAAGAAGCATAGAGGACCGAAGAGAAGGATAGGTACTTGCATACGGGTAGTCAACAAGAGTCAGACCAGGCCACCAAAAGCAGACCGCCTTGGGACGGGTGGTGCCCGTTTTCTGCCTTTGCCTCCAACTTTTCCTCTCGCACCCTACATCCGAGTCTACACACCCAACCCGCCATCGTACATTAGAGTAAAGGATACCTACTCCGTCGAGCAAGCGTACCGAGTACCTCGTGCCGACACCTCCACTTCGTGCGTGTACCTTGTAGCCGTGGCGCTCGTCTACTCTCTGCGCGGGAGCAAGGTATATGGCGACCGGGACATCATCATCCATCCGTCTCGCCGCCGCTTGAGAATTTGACGTTTTTCTCGACCTTCTTTTTCTTCCCTCCTCTACGCGCAAGTCAACAGTCGGAGAGAAAGAGAGAGAGATCCCCCTCCCCACCTCGCTCACACCGTCACCCCCGTCGAACCTCCAAGGCAGCGCAACCCGAAGAAAGAGGAGAGAGAGCAAAAATAGCGGAAGCTCCATCTCTGCCCAACGCGCTGATCCCCGCCCCCTTCAAGTTCCAAGCCGACCCTTTGGGCATCCGGGCGCATTCGCAGAGTGGGAAAATCCCATTTCCCAAGTTTCAAGAACCACACAGCCGGGAACACTTCAAACCGCTCACTACATCGGGTTCCCAAAGTCGAGTAGGAAGACTTCTCGAGCCGACTCGAATCGAGCTTCCCGTCCCTCGCCGCGCGCCGCCGCCGCCGCGCCTCCTCTTCCGCCCTTCCACTCCCAGCAGACTCCTAGTCCCTACCCTACTACTACGGATACCTTCCTTGGTCCTTGGTCCTTGACACCCAAGATAGGTTCTACAGATACATCCCCAGGTCTACGGATACGAACACCTCGACTCCCAACGACTTAGATCCCCGACATTGGGTTGCCAAGTACCTCTTCCTCCTCCTACCTGACCACACTACTCCTCACCCTCACCCTCCTCTACTTGGTACTATCCGTACCTCTCCGACTTTCACACCGACCTACCCTTCTTGTGCGTACTTCGTACACTTACGTTGCACTTCTCCGTACCGGTATACCGTGGACCACCACTCTGTACCGTACATACAACGTACAGACACGCCGCCATCAGGAAGAGGAACCACCACGGCCCCATGCTTTCATCCAAACACTGAGAGCCTCCAATTGTTGCTGCCCCAGACCCAGAACCCAACCTGATCTCCGTTCCCCGTCCCGGCTTCCCTCAACTCACACAGGCTTCCTGCTTGATTGATTGATTGCTTGCTTGGTCGCTTGGTTGCTCGCTTGTCCTTCTCGCTCCCTCCTATCCTCATCCCCGTCTACTGCTGCTCCCGTCTCTGCGTCGCGTTGCGTTGCGCTGGCCCAGCTTTGAGAGAGACTACTGGACTGGACCGGACCGGAACTGGGACGTCTGGCTCTTCCTCCTCGTTGCCCATAGCTTTTCCATGGCCGCCACCTTCTCCTCGGATCTGGCCTGACCCTATTTTCGCTTCGTCTCTTGTTTTTTCATAAGCATTTGTACGTATGTACATATATATCAAGCATGGATCCTCCGGGGCAGCCTGACAACAAACGCCCCCGTCTCTCGAGCACCAACTCGTGGTCACCACCTGGCGGACCGCAACACCATCTACCACCACTCCACCCGCCGCCCTCGCACCCGTCGACGCCGCACCAACAACATCCTCTTCCGCCTCACCAGCAACACGCGCCGCCGCCTGCGCCATATAACCACCAGCAGCAGCCGCCCCCGTACCCTCCTCGCTCCGTCGAGCCTCATCACCCTCCTCACCCGGCGCCGCAACATCATCCCGACGACCGACGACACCATGAGCCAGAGTCTCCTTACACGCCCATGCAGGACCACTATCGACACCCGCCCTCACCTGCGCACCCGCCTTACCCACCGTTCCCAAACCGAGACCCTGGCGGCGTGAAGAGGGAGCCGCACGACGAGAACCTCTCTCACCCAAGAAGGCCTCATTCGACAGGAGGCGGGCCACAGGACGGCCTCCCTCCTCCGCCGCACTCTGCGCCGCCGCACCCTTCCCACCAACCGTACCCCGACGACTCTCGACGACACATGAGCTACGATAACGGGCCACAGCAGATGCCCCCCACGCCGGGGGGCTACCGAAGCAGCTTTCCTCCTCCTCCCATGGCGCAACCGCCTCCACCACCGCAACATTATGAACAGCAACCGCAGTACCAACCGCAACCCCCTCCCGAGTCGATATACGCACAATTCTCTTCCACCGCCAAGCGCAAGGCAACAAGAGCCTCTCAGGTGCGACTGCGCGAGCCGCCCCTCAACTATATGAGTTTGCGCTGATCATGTGTTTTGTAGGCTTGTGACAGCTGTCGGCAGCTCAAGGCGAAATGTGACGAAACTAAGCCTTGCAAAAGTTGCAGAGAAAAGGGTGTCGAGTGTAAATATCGTGATCCTATTCCAAAGGCGTCAGTCGAGTTTGCCTCCCCTCCCTCAAATAATGTTTCTTGCTGATATTGGAAAACAGGATTGACAAGGGCCAAACCGACATTTTGGAAGCGATTTCTGAGATGAAGAGCGCGATGGAGGCCAAATTCGAGGCGCAGATCGCCGCCCAGCAAAGGTGGATGCAAAATATGGAGCAGAGGCTGAACATGCACAACATCAAGATGGAAGCCGAAGCACCGCCGCTTTCAGATGATTCTCCCGACAAGTCGCTTGTCAAGTCACCGTCGCCAGTTGCCGCGCCGCCTGTGGAAACGTACCCTCAACCCGACGAAGAGATGCACGAGCCGCAGCCCATGGCTGTTGGCGAGACGGACCTGGCCCACCAGATCCACGATACAGATATGGACAACGACGACGCGCCCGACAACCCTCCTGGACCACCTGTAGCGCCGGGTCCCCCTTCGATCCCGGTAAACCACACAACCAGAGCCGACACAATTTTGTTCTGGCCGGGTGTCAAGGAGATGACCCAGGGAATTCTGGAGAGGGAGAATGTCAAGTACCCGCAAGAATACCCCATCGCCCAGGAAGAGAAGCGCGGTGTTCTGCGACTGTACGGGCGCGGAGAAGGAAGCGGACAAGACTCCAACCGCGGCGTTACAAGCATTGCAGCTTCGGAGGCCTTCGGCACAATGGATGTCATGGAAGACAACTTCTCCGAGACTGGAAACTCGCCCTCCCCGGGTGAGGCTTGGGGCCAAGTCGGAGGACTGAGCCCGCCAACGAGCATGGGATACATCAGCGGAACGCTTACACCCGATGGTGCACCTGACTTTTCTGAAGAAAAGGTCAAGGCATACATCAACAGCTTTGAGACTCATGTCCTCACCTTGCATCCAATCATTCTCCCCGGCGACCTGAGAGTCCTTGTCAAACGCTTCTTGGACAACATTGCGCAAACCGAGAAGAAGCCCAAGCCGACTGCACCTGGCGTCGCCAAGTTCGTTGCACCGACGAGCAGCTACCCAGAAATGTCAAACAAGCGGAAGCGGTCTTCGCCAGCAGTAGATCAACCGCAGGAAGAGACGATACAGCTTCCTAAGAAGCCGGGCAGGCCGCATAGGACCATTGAAAACGCCCTTGTGTTGGTCATTCTCGCCTTGGGCAAGATCTGCCTGCACCAGTCCAAGATTCCGGACCTCCCCCGGGACATGGTAGAACACAGCCAGAACTCTCCCATGAACAGGAACGGTTATCCATCTTCCCCCGGTGCGCAGGCTTCGCCTCCGTCATATTCCGCGCATTCGCATTCCTCAGGGTTACCTTCGCCAAAGGAGCAGGCCAATAGTCTTCCCAGCAGACGGCCTTCACTACAGGGCAGCGGCGCCGGCAGCATGAAGTCCAACACGATGAAGCGCAACTACGACATTATTCCTGGTTTGGAATATTTCGCCTATGCCTCTGACATTATGGGCAACCACATGGCTGGCTGGACGATGAAGCACGCGCAGACTTTCATCTTTGCTGGTCTGTACCATGGTCAATTAGGTAGAGTATTGGAGAGTGACGCCATGTTCTTCAATGCCGCACGAGCTCTGAACATGATCATGCGCCGGTAAGTTGACCGAACACGGATACCAGATTGATGGAAACTAATACCCATGCAGTGACATGGACCGCTTCTCAAAGATGAGCCTCGAGAATCCCGTCGAGAAGAAGCGCGACAACATGGTCCTCATCGCATACTGGAGCTGCCTGCAACTCGAAAAGTAGGTCTCATGACACCAGATGGCTGGTCAATGCTAACAACTCTCAAGCGATATCATTGCGGAACTTGAACTTCCACGATCCAGAGGTCTCGACTACGAGCACATTATGCCGTGGCCTAATATGAAGCTCATAGAGAACGAGACATCTGTTAGAGTGCGAGACTCTTACATCGGACAGTTGTACCTGCGAAAGACGCTAAACACCATTCACAACTTGCTCTACGACCCCCAGGACATCCACGTTTCGATCAATGACAAGATGTCTAAAGTGCAGAACTTGGAGGAGCAGCTGAGAAGCATGCAGTGGGTATCAAAGGACTTCCACTTCAACGAGGACGATGAGCCAGCAAAGGAACTCATCGATGCGCGGTTGCGTGCCAAGTACTGGGGCGCTCGAGTCATCATCTACCGGCCCTTTGTCAGATTCGTATTGGAGGTTTCGGACAGGCTGAAGCAGCGCTCTGATGGCTCAGGCATGCTCAACAAGGAGACTGTGGGACACATTGGCGTCTTCACCCAACACGACGCGACTGCGTTCGTCGGGCAAGGCTCTCACGGAATCCGTCGGCACGATGAGCTTGACCCAGAAGTCAAGGCATACGCCGAAAGAGGTATCAAGGCCCTCATTCAGAGTACCCGGGCCTTCCACGGTGTCGACAGCAAGCGTCTTCTCGTCACCAACATCTTTGGCACAGCCCATGCGTAAGTTGTGACTTTCCCCCTAATGATTTGGGACAATACTAACGACCACAGGCAATGGGGCAACCTCTTGATCTTGGCAGCAGCCTTCAAGGACCCGTACTTGCAC